GGTTAAATCTTGTACATGAGAGTTAGCGAAGATCTAAAAAAATTTCTTCCATAGATGCTCGGTCTTTGACGGTGGCTTGAGTCGTGACCCTTGAGGATCGAGCAGATAGCTGCTCCTCATCAGTTGCCAAGATCAAGCTATCTTCTGGTGAAGACATCAAGGTAAATGAGGAATAACAGCTTCTTTGCTAGAGAAAATAAATCCTCCGGCAGCGTCGACGTTGCAACCGTATGAAGAATCTAGGATACAGAGGTTGTGAGTCGGCATCTACTTTCCCTTCTTCCTCCCATGCGACCCATTTCTAGAAATTGTTACGAACTTGGGTAAACAACACAACTTCGAGAGCAATAAGCGATTTCTCATCTTTGTTGGGAAAGATGATTTATAGAGCAAGGCCTTGGAATGGATAACCAAAAGAGAGAGATGGTCACACTAATTATCAAGGTAAGTTTCAAAGAAAGACCGTTTCAAGAATTGTGAATGCATTATACGTGTCTTCGACATCAGAAAAGTTAAACTCTGTGTAACTGCAACATTTATTTCACAATAAATATCGGATTAAAGATTTGATCCTTGATGTTATTCAAAAATAGTATTTGATTGCCAAAGAGGGTTGGCTCAGTTGGTAAGGTCTCTGTTTTTTACGTCGCTTCACCAAGGTTTGAGTTCTGCTACCAGCAATCCTCATTGGTGTGTAATATGTAAATTCTTACGCAAATCCATACCAGTGGCAACTTGCAGTTAGATGCGACGCGTAAGTCCTTCCAACTCGAGGTTGTGGGTATGCCATGGCGTTGGTGGTGAGAGTAACCAATTTCCCCCTAAATCTTTGGTTACCAACAAAAAAAAGAAAAAGAAATAGTATTCGATTAATTGAGTTAACTCAAATCATTTTAAAGAGCTTTAATTAATACGTAATTATTGTTTTAATTAATTATTTATAAGAAGTAGGACATAGCAACTGTATTGTCCATCCTCGGTATAACACGTTAATGGCAGTACCTAAATTTTTTCTCTATTTTAAGCTTATAGCGTCAACTCAAACAGATAAATTATATATTTAGATCCATACGTCATAGGGGTGGGCACTTGAAACCGAAAACCGAAACCGAAACACGAATCGAATCAAACCGCACCAAACAGTTTGGTTTGCGGTTTTGAAACGGTTTCGGTTTCAAAACCGAACCGCGGCACACAAAACGGTTTGGTTTTGGTTTTGGGTTTTCAAAACCGCACCGAAACCGAAACTGAAACCGAAACCGCACTTTTTTATTTTTATTTAGTTCATTCAACTAGGTTATACTTATACATTTGGTTTTGCGGTTCTGGGTTTGCACTTTCAGTGACTGCTTCTACGCCGCCTCCTTGCATCTCCGCATCTGCCTTTGCGACCTGGTCACCTGACTGCCTGCTTGCATCTGCTTCTGCCTGCCTGCCTGCGAGCGACTGCTTCTACCTGCCTGCCTGCGAGCGACTGCTTCTGCCTGCCTGCGTGCAAGCGAGTCGCGACTGCATCTGCTTCTGCGGCTGCCTGCGAGCGACTGCTTCTGCTTGCGACCTCACTGAGTCACTGAGTCACTGCTTGCTTTCATCTCTGCCTTGCCTCCAATCTTGGAGTCGACACACCCAGAGGTAAAAATTTCTCATCCTCTGTCTTCAATTTCATATATGTTGTTAGATTAAAAGGGAAAATATGAGAACAAACTCATGCACTGAATCATGATTGATAATTTAAAATGTGCATTTCTTTCGAATGTTAGGCAAGTTAAAGGTTTGGGTTTGGCAAAGTAAGTAATTTTTTTTCGAAAGTTGAGATATTAGTATCTATCATTTATGATTGGTTTTGAAGTTAAAAGTTCACAGTAGTTTGCTTTTGTTTGATATCAGGCAAAGCCTTGAGTAATTTTCTGTTATACGTTTGCTTTTGTTTGATATCACCCATATAACATTATTCTATGGTTTGTTTTTTAAATGAATTAGGAGATTTAGAAGGTCTATTTATTTGTTTCATTTCTCTCATTTTGAGTCTTCTTCTGTCCGTATGTTCTTTGTTCCAAGGGGAGTTGGCTGTTTTCTTTTTCTGTGGTTTTATTTGTTGTTTTCAATTTGTTAATCTGTGACTGCGTTGATTCACCGTCTTCACTGCACCATTTGTTGTTTTCAGTTTGTGAATGTCTTCACTGCACCATTTGCATAATTCACTGATGTCTTCACTGCACCATTTACGTAATCCAGTAATCACCGGTAAGAACAATAAATGTTAAACATCACCAGCATTCGCTAAAATTTGGTGCATATATTGATGGGATAGTGATAAATGTAGACGTCTGTGTTGTTAATTTCTTAATGGTTCAGATACTTTAATTTATTTGTTCATAATGTCGTTGATTCGTAATTTTTCGCTACAAGAAAGTGATTTCGCGTTTTTCACATTTCAATATCATTATAACAAAAACCCGTATTCTTCCCAGGAGAAACATTCACTGATGTTGTTGGGAGCCCTTACTGTGTGGTGCCAGAAGTACTACGGAAGCACTATGGTGAGTTATCCACTTCTCTTTCACTTTTGTGCAACCCATTGTCCTCAGTTTATAATCTTTCGTTGGATAATCTGATCGCCCAATCTATTCTCAAGCGATATCTTTGGTATAAAAAATTGATCGAACAATGTTTACTTTTCTCGGCAACCTCTTTACAATGTTTTACAATTTCTTTCCTGCTACATTATAATAGAAATGTGAAGTACAAAGTCAATTTAAAAACCTAATATCTATCTATTTTCTTAGTATAAAAACCTAATATCTATCTATGTTCTTCTTTCGTATTTTATTTCAGTCAAGATATGAAGAATCCAGCAAGCATAGTGGGATTGGTTACTCTTCTACGGGGGACTCCCCTGAGAAGCCGGAGGACGAGGCAATAGAAATTGACTCGGAAAATGAAATAGACGTTGAAGGTGACTCTGAAAATGACGGCGAAGAATCTGAGGGCGAAGATGAAAAAGTAAGTAACTCTGATTCAAGAAAACGTAGTTGGGTTTGGGATCATTTTACAACATATTATGTGACGAAAAAACAGTCGAAAATCAATGAAAAGGGAGAGAAATATTTGGCCGAAGTAAAACTTAGGAGAGCTAAATGTAATTATTGCCCAAAACAGAGCAGTGTAGGTGATTATGCAGCTGAACCAAGAGTTAATGGCACCACAAGCATGAGACACCACATTGAAAGATATTGTAAATTTTACCAAGGGAATAGAAGTAAAAAGCAAAAAGTTTTGGTTGGGGATAAAAGTAAAGGTAATAATCTGGTTGCTGTTGGATTTTCACAAGAGAGTGTGTTAGAAGCATGTGTCAAAATGGTAGTCATAGATGAGATGCCATTTAGTACAGTTGATAAGATGGGGTTTCGGCTTTTTTGTGCTGTTGGTATTCCATTGTTTAAAGTGCCTTCTAGAAGAACTCTTGTGAGAACTTTTCTCAACATGTCTCATGAATCAAAAGCTTATTTGAAGAAAACCTTAAGTGCCCATAGAATTTGTCTCACTACCGACACTTGGACAAGCACACAAAACACCAATTATATGGTTCTTATTTCACATTTTATTGATCATGAATGGAATATGCATAAGAGGATCATAAACTTTTGTGTTATTCCTAACCACTATGGAACCACAATTGCAAAGTTAATTGAAAGTTGCTTGTTGGAATGGGGGATAGACAAAGTTATGACAATCACAGTGGACAATGCTTCCGCCAATAAAGTTGCTTTGGATCAACTCCTAAATCGGTGGAGGTCTTGATATGCATGCAAAATTGGTTGAGGGGTGATAATATTATTACTTTGGAGGATGATGCACCTTCAATTGACCACATTGAGTTCTATGAAAGTATTGAATCCGGTAAGTATATCAATTGAAATAAAAGAACTTTCTTTGTTTTTTTTTTCAACTAAACATCAATTATATTTTTTATGTTTTGTATTGTGTAGAGTTGGCCAAATCGACTTCAAGCATTGCCTCTCTTACTCTCGATCAAGAACCACAACAAGCTCCAAAGCAATCTCAAGGTTCTAATTCACAAGAGCCTCCCCTTATGCGTTTACAAAGTGCAAGGTCTTCACAAGCTCAAAGGCCTCCTAAACCTTCAAAGAATAAGTGTCCAAAAGGAAAAGGAAAGGTAAAGGTTTGAAACTTGAACGATGCAAAGTAAGTTGAAAACCAAGATTTTGTTGAATTCCATGAACCATTTATTTTTTTGGTTGTACTAATGCCATAAGGCATTTGACATTGAACTTTGTTTGAAACTTTGAAGTTTGAACTTTAGTTGTATTATGGCAAACTTAACTTTTCAATTGGGTTGTAGTAAACTATTGTGATTGATTGGTGATCAAGTTGAATTTTAGTAGATGTGAATTATGTGATGCGTTTTTGTGTAGTTTTTTGGTGCAGTTTTGTGCAGTTTTTTGGTGCAGTTTTGGTGCAGTTGTGGTGTAATTTTTGCTGCAGTTTAGCTGCTGTTTTTGTGCAGTTTTGTGCAGTTTTGGTGCTGTTTAGCTGCTGTTTTTTGTGCAGTTTTGTGCAGTTTTTTGCTGCAGTTTCAGTGCAGTTTTTTGCTGCAGGTTTGGTACAGTTCTTGGTGTTGTTTTGCTGCAGTTTTTTGCTGCAGGTTTGGTGCAGTTTTTTATGTTGTTGCTGTTTTTGGTGCAATTTTGGTGCATATTCATTAATTAATATACCAGGAAAATAAGACCATCTTATGCATAAATATGTGTATATTTTAAATTGTACATTTTTTTCTCAAAAACAAAACCGAAACCGTTTCAAACCGCACCTAACTGAACCAAACGGTTTGGTTTCATTTCGGTTTTGGCTTCAAAACCGCACCGCACCTCACCGCAAAAAGTTTCGATTTTGGTTGTGGTTTCACTCGAAACCGCACCAAACCGCACCGCGCCCACCCCTAATACGTCAAGCTAGAATTGAACAATATCACTTCTAAAGCAACTCAATACTTTTTTATAGCGTGACAACTATGTAACAAGAGTTCAAGATTTAGAGTTAGTTAAATTGGTCGTAACAATATGTTTTCTCTCTACACTTGAGCTCGAATCCTCTTCCGTTTAGATTAATTTGATACAAACTATCGCTTGCATCAAAAAAATAAAAATACAAGGGTTTATTTTAAATAAAAAGACAAGGGTTAATATTTTGCAATGTCCCTAAGAGCAGGTCCACCCCTAAAAAAATGTGTTAGCACCTAGCCCATTTAATTCACTCAATGAACAGTAATAGACTCTAATGAATAGTAATAGGCCAAATGCATCTCCACTCCTAAAACAGGCGCTGGCACAAAGTCTAAAAAATGCGCTGGCACCCAGCCCATTTAAAATATTATTAAGTTTTTTATAAAATAATAAATAAATAAAATAGTTTTAAATTCGGATAGAATTTTTAACCAATCTTGTCACACCACGTATCATTGTCAGAAAGTACTATTTTGTGGATAGATTTCCAATAAGATTTTCAACAAATCCCGACGCACCACGTAGCCATTTTTTCCACAAAAAAATATATGAAAGCTTTGGTAGAAAGTGTTGAAAATATTAAAATGTGGTGTAAGGTGGAAGATGATGGTTAGGTATTTATAGAAAAATAATAATAATTTTTTAAAATTTTTTTCCGTATTTTTTAACAATTTTTAATAATTTTTTATTAATTTTAATTAAGTTAATTAATCTGGACCGTTGGATTTGAAAAATATTCAAATCCAATAGCCCAAATGTTGACATGTGACCAACAACCATAATTCTAACTGTTATGTCTTTTTTCTTTTTCTTTTTTGGGTCTAAAATCGTGGACCGTTGATCTCTGGATCGGAGGGCCCACAACTAGCCACATCACTAGCTGTTGGATATGATTTTCAAATTTTTTTTACAGTTGGAAATCCAACGGTCCAGAAAACTAGCCGTTGGGAATCCAATGGCCCAGAACGAGCCATGTGGCTTCTACCTCGCGCCCTCTGTCGCGATTGTAACAACGGGCCCCACCGCCTTTTCCCTGTCTGAAATGCGCGCCTGACGCAAAAAAAAAAAAAATCAGTGTGCTCTGACGTCATGCTAACGCTAGGATGACGTCACAGAACCCAGCTGATTGCTCAACACATTTTGAGCCGGCCTATGGCCTGGCTTGGGCTGGGTGGAGGATTTTTAGGGGTGCCGGTCCATTCTTTGTGCTTTGAGCCTACCTACCCCTTGGGGTGGACATGCTCTAAAGGGTTCATTTTTGCAATGTCCCTAAACTCGGTTTCAATCTCACTTTTATCTTGAAACTCAAATTTTGCTATTTTTAACACTCTAAAACCCAATTTTTGTTTACCACTTTGAGAAAAAGAAAAAAAGAAATCAAACTTTTAAATTACCGTTATGTAAATAGGCATCCGGTCCTCGTCGTTGACTGACCTACGAGGGAGCAGAATAACTCAGAGGGATGTACATTCCAACAAGAATCGCAGCCAGACTTCCCCTACTCGCCTCTCCTTCGCTTCCCTCCTCTTTATTCTCTCACCACCGTCAGTCAGTCTGTCTGTCTGTCTCTGTCTTGCGCACACACACATTGAGTGAGAAAACAAGCATATCAAACTTAGCTATTTCTTTTTCTTTTTTTTTTTCTCCAGGCGTGCGCAAATTGGGTAATTTAACGCCAACAGTGCACATCATTAGATTGAAACGCTGCGCTGCGAAGAAGATGGCTTGGAGTTTGAAGAAGAGCGACGCGGGGGGTTGAAACCCACTTGGGGGTGGTCCGTCCGGCCACTGAAGCTCACGCTGAAGAGGCCGTCGGAGCTCTCAGAGCCGGAGAAGTCATTGCCGTCCCCACCGATACGCTGTACGGCTTCGCTTGTGATGCTTGGTATGGAAATCAACCCTATGCACTCCACCTGTTTGTTTAAAGGAACTTTAACGAAAAACCATATTTTTACATTAAAAAGTCAATACTATTCACTTTACCCTTTATTTTGTCCTTATTATTAAAACTCAAAGTTTTCAAGCGGTTTTCATTAGTTTCCTTTTGTTTAAATGCTTCAGTGTCTAAAACCCTGTTTTTGGATATCGGTATAGTGCTCCTTTTTTTTTGTTATGATGATTTATAAGAAAGCGCATACTTTTAATTTGTGTAATTTTGTAACCCATCCCTGAAATGGTGGAGAATAATTGCAGCTCTTTGGAAGCAGTGAACCGAATATATGAGATTAAAGGACGTAAGCATACAAGTCCTCTTGCAATTTGTGTTGGGGATGTTCCGGACATTGAGCGGTTTGCTGTCACAGACCATTTGCCCCATGGCTTGCTTGAGGCTCTCCTTCCAGGACCCGTTACTCTTGTACTAAGCCGAGGTATAGCAACAGAACAGAAATTTCTGTATTCAAGAAAAAAAAAAGAATAAGATTTTTTTTCTGATAGACACCACCATTTGATTGATGCTTGATATCAATAGGGTTGATTTCGTTTCGTCTTTGTCACTTTCACATTCAGTGTTGAATAAGAAAAGCTAGTTTGGGTATTTTGCAGGGGAGTCAAGTATTCTTGAGAAGTCTTTAAACCCAGGATTGGAGAGTATAGGAGTCCGAGTACCTGACTGTAACTTCATCAGGGACATTGCACGCAAATTGGGGAGTGCATTGGCCCTTACAAGTGCAAACCTAAGTGGGCAGCCAAGTAGTGTTTCCATCAAAGATTTTGAGAACCTCTGGGAACACTGTGCGTACGTTTACAATGGTGGTGTGCTTCCTTCAGGCCGTGCAGGCTCAACAGTTGTGGACCTCACCAGACTCGACAGGTACAAGATTCTTCGACCCGGAAGGTAAGAATCCCCTTGACTACACTACCTTTTCAGTGATGTAAATGGCTGGGAAAATGAAAATATATGACATTATTGTTGTGGTTTGTTATTTAAATCTAGAAGTCCTTAAGGAAATAATGGTTAGCATCTCATTAGAGATGAAGTACAGCTGAAGTATAACATATGGTGTATTTTGTCTCATCAATGCATTCTATTTATAGAACTCCGCCTGTGTAAGTTTATCTTACATTGCCGGTCCCAAGCCTGGGTAAAGGAGGAGGGGGAGGGCGTCAGGTAGTCGACAGCCGGCACTCCTCGGTTACGTCAAATCCTTATGAAATGCATTCTATTTATGGGAAATTTATAAAGTTTGTTTAGTACTCACTAGTCACTACACACTCAAAGATGGCAGTAATAAACTAATAACTGGTCTAATGATGCCTTTTCTGCCGTTGAATTTAACAAAATTGTCGGGATAGCTATCGGTAATAATCATTTTTCTCCAGTTTTAAAATGCAAATATGCTTAGGATTGTTTTGATGGATCAAATCCCGAATGTTGATCTTTAGATATGTCTTCTTTATATCCTTTTGTTTCTTTTTGCTTTGGGCATGCTGAACTTTAGTACAACCAGTTTCTAGTGGTGTAAATATTCCTTGCTTTGCCATTGCAGTGCGAGAGACGAAACTGTTGCAATTCTCGGAAGGTTTTCTCTTGAGGAAGAAGGAACAGCTACTTAAACCCACATGCATTGCAACTCCCATGCTTTACATGCCTTAATGGCTGTGACCTGGGCAGCTGGAAGGTATGAATCGACGATATATACCATAATCCGGAATTGAAGCAAATTTGTGATTGTAGAATCCTATTTGTTTTTGTAATTTTATATGACCTGAAGCGATAGATGAAGTTTGGATACAAGTTAGATTAGTTAAGTTCATTCACCACTAAGCTATTATCTCAAGTTCTGTTATCTTTTAATACTTTTATATTTTGATACGAATTATTTTGTATCAGATGGCAAGTGCCTTCGCCCATGAGCGGTAGGTCTCGGGTTCGAGACTTGGGAGTAGCCTCTCCATAAATGGGGGTAAGGCTAGCCAACATTCACCTCTCCCAGACCCTGCGTAAAGCGGGAGCCTTGTGCACTGGGTACGACCTTTTAGATGTATTTCAAATTTGTACTTCTGCAAGTATATATAGGTGTTAGGGGAGAGCAACTATATGGAACAGATTCATCGTCATGTAGCTTCCCAATCCAATAATATATTGCCATGTGGAGATTAAAATGCACTTTAACATGTATTATTGGATACGAGACGCCACATGGCAGTGAATCCATTGCATGTAAGTCCCCGTGTCTGGGATAACGTCGTTTCACTTCTAGGCCTCTTGGGCAAGCCCTGTTGGTACAACGTTATTTCCTTTTGATATCATGTCAAATTTGTAAGTGGAGGCTGTCATATTCACAAGCACAATAATATGGTCATAAGGACGTAACACGACACGATAACACAATTCAAGCTCAATATCATTCCTTAATCAGATTTATTAGTCTCACGAACCCGGGTTAGCACTTGCACAGAAAAACGACACTTCTTCTAACTTCTTCACAAACCAACATGATATGTCAAATATGCGTAACTCAGCCATTTAAACTTATATAACCTCATTCTGCATTCAACTTAAATTTAAATGTTAATAGTCATTTTTAAGAGTAAAAATGTGGTTTTTCGTTAAAGTGAACAGTACCGAGAGTTTTTCGTTAAAGTTCCCTAAAAATAATGAAAGTGGATTTCAAAGTGGTAACCTGAAACACTTGTAAATAGCTTGGCATATATTGGGCCTCAACTGGACTTCATGAAAAATACTTTGGGGATTTAGCCCATTATTTATGTATTAAGGAGCGAGCCCTTATTCTATAAAAGGGACTCCCTCACCATCATTAGAGAGCATCAACTCTAGCCCATCATTTATATATTGAGGAGCGAGTACTTATTCTATAAAAGGGACTCCCTCACCTTTAACACCACAAACCGAGCCAACCAAAGCAACATAAGCCACGAGCCGAGCAGCCTCGCAGCATGTGCTACTTCTAGTTGAGCGTCATTTCAGATTGAGCATCGCCTCATATCAAACATCAGTTCAAGACAACATCTAGTTACTTCGGCCCACACATGGACTGAATTTCAAGTCTCCAGCCAAAAGACTCTCTTGACTGAAGACTCGGGGGACTTAAATGTAATTATATGATAAAGGAAGGGGCAAATATGTAATAAGTGATGAGTCTTTATTCTATAAAAGGACCCATCAGCCTTACAATTAGGATAGGCCAATTCCTAAGGCTCATCACCCCCTCTCAAAGCCTCACTCTCAGAGGCTCTCACATTCTCTCCCTTACCTCTCAGATAAATACATAATCAGTGTGGACGTAACCCAAACTTGGGGTGAACCACGATACATCTTGTGTTATTTACATTACTTGCAGATTCACGGTCGGATTTACGTTGTTCCAAGACCTTTGGTTTTGTGCATCAACATTTAGCGCCGTCTATGGGAATCAACACGAAAAGCTATGTCGGTTCTCTTTCAAATTTTCATCTCACCACCGTGAAACCTTTACAACCTCACCACTATCCACCGTAGATCAGAAAAAACCACACATAACACAATCTCTCTCTCTGACAAAATCTCATAAACTCGTTCAGAGATGAGACCACAAACCAACCACCCTCTTCTCATTTTCACCTTGACCGTACTTCCTGCTCCACAGGACATGCAATATGCAGTAGCAGGGATCGGTTCCAGTTGTCAGTTCCGCCTCGCACGACGTGTCACCTCGCAGGATCTGAAAGCAAGTATGTTGTCCAGCTGTCAGTACCGGAAAATCTCTGTCAGTTTCGCGACTGATTTCCGCTCTCGAGTGGCAGTTCTATGAACTACCTTAACCTTGCAAAATCTGGAAGCAAGTATGTTGTCCAGGCTTGCGAGGATTACGTGCTCAAGCATACGAGAAGAAAACATATACTGTGACTTTTGTTGCTAGTTCTTCGCCATCCGGTACAAGCAGCTTTGCTCGGTTGGTATGGTCCAATGGGAAACGCACAGTAGGCAGTCCAATTGCATTCACCTGGATATAATTTTGAACAGCAGCAGGCAGTGGGAACAAATTGAAAAAGAGAAAAAGAAAAGAGTAAAGCTGGTCTTCTCTCTCTCTCTCTCATGGAACTCCACCAGTTCGAAGGCTCAACCCTGCTTTCTCTAATCCAGCTTCATCGCAAACCAGATGGATATTAGTGTTATACAAGTAGCCATGGCTTGAAAGTCTGTACCAGTGCAGTATAGCAACATATGGAATTAGATCTTCCTAACGTGACAAATCTACTTGCCACAGTGTAGATCTTCCTTATAGTAATTTATTTCCAAGGGCTCCATGTGGTTCTGCCAGTGAGATCAAAGAATGCTTGTGGACAACAGGGTTCTTATCCTATCAAGCTGTTCTACACTTCCAACATGCCCATCATTTTGCAGTTTGCACTTGTGTCCAACCTTTACTTTATCTCCCAGTTGTTTTACAGGAGGTACAACGAAAATTTCCTTGTGAATCTTTTGGGCAAATGGAAGGAGTCTGAATAATCAGGAGGTCAATTCGTTCCTGTCAGTGGTCATGTGCGAGAGGACCGAAGGTGGGGAGCTGCACGGGAGGAAGAATCATGGGGGAACACATGAGAGACAGCGCAAGAGATTAAGAAAAGTAAAAGGAGAAAGCCAACATTTTCTGATTTATGAGAAAGCAAAAGAAGAAAGCCATCATTTTCTGATTTATGAGAAAGCAAAAGGAAAAAGCCATCATTTTCTGATTAAAGAGAAAGCAAAATAGAAGCATGTGGGGACACTGCAAAAGTAAGGAATAAACACCCCACCAGAATGGTGTGATTTACTTTTCTTGTTTTTGTATAATGTAATTTATTTTTCGTATCTTTCGGAGATATCGGTACAAACCTCATCAGAGGGTAATAAAAAAAATAAAAAATACTTGGGGGACTTAACTGGGCCTCATGAAAAATACTTGGGGGACTTAACCCATTATTTATGTATTAAGGAGCAAGCCCTTATTCTATAAAAGGGACTCCCTCACCACCATCAGGGAGCATCAACTCTAGCCCATCATTCATATATTGAGAAACGAGTCCTTATTTTATAAAAGGGACACCCTCACCTTCAACGCCACAAGCCGAGCCAACCAAGGCAACATAAGCCACGAGCCGAGCAGCCTCACAGCATGTGCTACTTCTAGTTGAGAGTCATTTCAGATTGAGCACCGCCTCATATCGAACATCAGTTCAAGACAACATCTAGTTACTTCGGCCCACACATGGACTGAATTTCAAGTCTCCAACCAAAGGACTCTCTTGACTGAAGACTTGGGGGACTACTGTTTATATCATATTTAGGGCCTCGTATTTAGATCTCATACAAATACTTGGGGGATTTAAATGTAATTATATGATAAAGGAAGGGGCAAATATGTAATAAGTGATGAATCCTTATTCTATAAAATGACCCATCACCCTTACAATTAGGAGATGCCAATTCCTAAGGCTCCTCACCCCCTCTCAAAGCCTCACTCTCAGAGGCTCTCACACTCTCTCCCTCACCTTTCAGATAAATACATAATCAGTGTGGACGTAGCCCAAACCTTGGGGTGAACCACGATACATCTTGTGTTATTTACATTACTTGTAAATTCACGGTCGGAATTACATTACTTGTTCCAAGACCTCCGGTTTTGTGCATCAACATTTGGTGATGTCTGTGGGAATCGACACGAAAAGCTATGTTGGTTCTATTTCAATTTTTTATCTCACCACCGTGAAACCTTCACAACCTCATCACTATCCACCATAGATTAGAAAAAACCACACAGAACACAATCTCTCTCTTTGACAAAATCTCATAAACTCGTTCAGAGATGAGACCACAAACCAACCACCCTCTTCTCATTTTCACCTTGACCGTATTTCCTGCTCCGCACGACATGCAATATGCAGTAGCAGGGATCGGTTTCCTGTTGTCAGTTCCGCCTTGCACGACGTGTCGCCTCGCAGGATCTGAAAGCAAGTATGATGTCCAGCTGTCAGTACCAGAAAATCTCTATCAGTTCCGCGACTGATTTTCGCTCTCGAGTGGCAGTTCTATGTACTACCTTAACCTTGCAAAATCTGGAAGCAAGTATGTTGTCCAGGCTTTTGAGGATTACGTGCTCAAGCATACGAGAAGAAAACATATACCGTGACTTTTGTTGCTGGTTCTTCGCCATCCGGTACAAGCAGCTTTGCTCGGTTGGTATGATCCGATGGGCAACGCACAGTAGGCAGTGCAATTGCATTCACCTGGATATAATTTTGAACAGCAGCAGGCAGTGGGAACAAATTGAAAAGGAGAAAAAGAAAAGAGCAAAGCTGGTATTGTCTCTCTCTTTCACGGAACTCCACCAGTCCGAAGGCTCAACCCTCATTTCTCTAATCCAGCTTCATCGCAAACCAGATGGATATTAGTGTTATACAGGTAGCCGTTGCTTGAATGTCTTTACCAGTGTAGTACAGCAACATATGGAATTAGATCTTCCTAACGTGACAAATCTGTTTGCCACGGTGTAGATCTTCTTTATAGTAATTTATTTCCAAGGGTTCCATGTGGTTCTACTAGTGAGATCAAAGAATGCTTGTGGACAACAGGGTTCTTATCTTATCAAGTTGTTCTACACTTCCAACATGACCATCATTTTGCAGTTTGCACTTATGTCCAACCTTTACTTTATCTCCCAGTTGCTTTACAGGAGGTACAGCGGAAATTTCCTTGTGAATCTTTTGGGCAAATGGAAGGAGTCTGAATATTCAGGAGGTCAATTCTTTCCTGTCAATGGTCATGTGCAAGAGGACCGAAGGTGGGGAGCTGCACGGGAGGAAGAATCATGGGGGAGCACATGGGAGACAACGCAAGAGATCAAGAAAAGTAAA